GATATATACGCATGTGCTCTAAGCAAGAGTAAATTGCCTTAAAACTCAGTTCACCTGTTGGTTTTTTTTTTGGAAATCATTTATATCTTCAAACACGTGAATGAAAATAGCCCAGAGTCTGTCATAAACATCTTTGACTGTAGCATCCAGCATCCCATGCTTCGGGCTAATCCTCTTACGGTGATTAGCAGCAGACCAGCAGGGCTGCAAGGAGGGACTTAAACAGGCTTTGGCCTCAGCCTGGGTTCACAGCCCAGAGCAGCTCCTACACTTCCCATGTCAGTGGCTCAAACTGAATTCAAAATCCCCACTAATTAAATACATCTAAGGGGTGGCTGGCTAGGAGAGGAAAAATAAGACTTGCCAGAGAGAATGAGGAGTTTATGGCGTGTGCACTCAGGATGAAACGGCAGGGTGGAAGGGGCAGGTGATGTACGTACTGGAAAAAGGTGACAGTGTGCCTGTGCCCACCGAATAACACGCCTAGGAAGCAAACCACAGCCTTCTGCAAAGTTTGGGGCAAAAGCACAGCTCTCAGGACAAATGAGGTGTCCATCAGCAGCTGGGTTTCCGCCTGGGTTTTCAGTGCACAAAAACATAGAGATTCATTCTGAGCTATCAAAATGAATTTTAGTTGGTTAAAACCAACTAAATCCACTGACCACACACGTCATTCCTGGTAGCGAACAGTAATTTACACCCAAAAAAAATCAACTCACCTGCTCTGTAGCGAGACAGAGCAGCAGTTTAATAATGAATAGTTTCTGATTTGCCTGCTCTCTTTATTTTCTCCTTCAAATTTCTCTGTGCCTTCCGACCAAGAAGTTTGTTCAGATCTGAGGGTACTGTTTTCCAATCCAGAAAACGGCATTCTGAAAATTGGATCAAAACTATCTGATCCTCTTCTGAAGCCTACGTTTCATTGCTTCTTCCTAAGGCTAGCCGGGTTATTTTAAAAAGCAGAGCACTTTACTTATTCCACTTCAGATATTAAAAATTACGCTGGAACACGAAATTAACTTTAAACAGCAAATTTAGCTTGGGAAAGTCCATACAGTTGCACTTCTATTGGACTTCATGAGAACAAAACCAAAAACAAGGGAGGAATGAAGTAGGGATGGAGCTTCCCTGCACAGAGCAGACTCCCAGAGAAGCAGAGATGCAGGTGGCCTGGGAGCACCTTTACTCCCTGCCACAAGACACCGGTTCAATTTGGAAAAAAATAACTTCGAGAACTGTTCTGAAGGGTTATTAAATATAAGCCAGCGTTGCCCCCCCGGCCTCCCCAGTGCTCCCCGTTTCCTTTTCATTACTGCTTGCTGGGCAAACAGGCTGCGGTTTGTACCTGAGCCTCCGTTTGGTGCAAGCATTCTCCAACCAGATTGTCCTCACAATTAGCTGCGATGGTTATTAATAACACCTTTCAGGCCAAGGTTCAGGAGGTGCAACCCCAGCTTCTTCACTGCAAACAGAGGCCATCTGTGCCCTCTTCCACGCCGCTGGCAGCCAGTGCTGGTGCTCACTCAGGGTGCAGGCTCCTGCCTCCCCTTTGCCAGGGGTGCCCGCTCCGACCGCTCCTTTTTTCGCCTGTTTGAAACAAGCTCCTCACGCTTCTTCACCAATACATCCCCTACAACGAACCCCCGAAACATCTCAAAAGCAAACCAGCAAACAAACCATGCAGCCCTCCCACGGGGTGCAGTACAGCAGAGCCCAGGCGGATGGATGGAGCCAGGGCGCAAGGTGGTGGCTGCGCAGTTTTTCCAAGGCAAATAAGAGCCAAATTTCAGGGAGATGTGAAAAAAAGCCTAAGGTATGCCTCCTCCAGCTGAGGAGGCAGCAATAAAATGGGAAATTGTCTTTTTCTAGGTTCATTAATATAGATTTCAAGGTTCGCGATCATCTCTCAACAGGGAGCACAAAGTCTTGATGTCCCTGTGAGTGGGCCCATGGAGAACTTTAGCTGGGGCGCTAAGTCTTCTTCAAGGCCCAGTTAACTCACGTAAGTTACTGTCTCTTTTTTTACTATAAGCTCTTAACCAATACACGATTTGCTATGGATAAACTGAAGTTCATCTGTGAAATAAGTCTCCGTTGACAAACTCAGCCTTCACTTTCCTTGTCAAGCTGCTGGCAGCGATGCCAAACAATTGCTCCAAGCAGTTCTTGCATTCACTGCGAGCGCAATGCGCTTGGCAAGCCAAGTGTGCTTAACATATTTCCTCAGGTTACTTTTGTTTAAGCAGCTTTAAAGTTTCTTCTTCAGCCAAGTGGGAACAGAAGCTTCCTCTCACACCTCTCCCCGCCAGGCTGCCACAATTCAGCAGGCAGTCTCTGGAGAATCACACACGCCTGAGGACACGCTGCGAGCCACTGAGCGCAGGGAGGATGTGTGTGAATGCCCCTGCAGCCCCTTCACCGTGTTTTGATTTGTGGAAGAAAACATCTTTCCCAACTCTAGGTTCTCCCATGCAATTGATATTAGGACACTTTATTGGGAAAGGAACCTAAAACACGTCTCAGACTTCCAGAAAACTCAACATTGGAGTTTAAAAGCCCTCAAAAATGAGATCGAAGACTGAAACCCTCCAACACCACGACCTAAATACACAGTCACGGCTTTTCAACACAGGATAAAAAAGGCAAAACAGAAATAGCAGCTTCAAAAGGGAGCTGCGAACAATGCTGATATCCAGAATAGAACAAAGAGAGATCAAGAGAAAAAAGTTTTCATCTGCCTCCAAGAGCTGAAACATCCTGGGAGTAAGTTTCCCAAAACGTACTTCCAAATACTAGTGGATAAAACCTACATTAATCACAGTGTGGCAATTTGAGAGCCTAACTGCACTAAAGTCTGCCAGGAAAAGTACAGAAAATAAACATGGAAATGAAGCAGAGAGGGTAGGGGAGAAAGACTGGGAACTTATTGATCACAGGAAGAATTTTTTTAAATTTTTTTTTTTAGTTAAACTTTTTGGGTAGAAGCCTGCAGGTCCCTCATTGCTTCTGCTGCAAAACTTTCCAGTGCTCCTGCAGAAACCCCTTCTGGACTGGCCGTTCAGCTGTCACCCTCGTGCAAGCTATGCAAAGCCCACTGACATCCCAGTCTGCAGTATTTGCCCGTGTGTTTGATTTGAGGAACGATAAACCCAGCGTTACTGTCTGAGGCTGCGGGACGCCGTAAATGAGGTGAGCAACACTCATCCTGCTTTATGGGCAGGAACATTTGTTTCTTGCCCAGGGTCGCAAGCTTCCCCTGAGGAAGAAGCAAATCACACTAATTGGACTCGACGAGCAGAGCTCCTACAACTCACTGCACCTGAGCGCTACCTCCACAAAATCGGGCAGGAACTTTGTGCTTTCAGTAAAACCCCATGGCTTAAAACCCCACAGCAGTAATCCCACAAGAGCTCCCGAGTGAGGAAGGCCCCTGCCCGCCTTGGGGAAGCGCCCACACACCTTATTCTCCTCACATCTCCCAGGCTTGGGGCACCTGGGAGCTCTGGGGATACCACAGGACACGCAGCTCATGCGCTGATGTGCAAGAACAACTCTGCACCATTTTTCAGCCAGGGAAGACCAGGAGGCAAACAAGCCTTTCATTCCTCAGCCTCCCAGAACAGACAGCTGAAAAACAGATTTATTACACAGACACGGGTTGATGGAGCTCGGATTTGTTGCAAGAAAAAATCCTAATCTGGGAAGTAGGCAGCGAGCTGGAGGCTGAAATCCTGCATTTCTCCCTCAGAGGCAGTGCAAAGCCCCAACAGGGCAGACAAACAAGTGCAGCCTTCCCAGTAAAATAGTAAGCCAAGACTTCCAAGAGGAAACATCCTCTGTGGGGGAGAAGCCACGCACCAAATCAGGGCTTGTTGTATAACTCAGCTGTGCACACACAGACGTGTGCACGTGGTTTTAAAGGCACCGTCCCCGCTGCCACCACGGAGTGCCCCTGAACACACGTTTTGGTGAGGCGACGCACAGAAATGCACCGAAAACAAGTGAAACTCCCTGGATGCACGCGTAAACCGTACAAACCCACACGGCCGGGGAGCGTGGGCGATGCTGAGTGTGTGTTTAAGCAAGGAAAACCACTTCCAAAAGGTTATTTCTTCACAGGCTTTTGGTGGCTTGTGGTAGTGATTCAGTCAGGTGCTAATAGTGCCTCTGACTGTATTTCAGGTGTCCCAGTGGCACAAACAGAAAGAAAAAAGAAAAAAAATAAGAAAAAAATAAGAGCATGAAGTTCGTAGTTTGTACCTTTTTTTTTTTTTTTTTTTTTAATCTGGGCTCGGAGAAGCTGTCAATCACAGCCGTGAATCACATAAAGGCAAAACTAACGGTACGATAATTTTCCATTACACATTTCCCAGAGGAGGAGATGCAGTTGCGTCCTGATACGAAGCACAGAGCGAATATTTCACCTGTCTCACCGTTGCAGCCGCTTCGGCCCTTTGAACTCTGCGTTACGGACTGCTTGCAGCATTCCTGACAGCCTTGGTTTGAAAACACCACTTTTTATCCACCGCCAGGGTCCCTGGCCCCTTCCCTTCCCAATCGTTCAGTTCAGATTCACGCAAATGTCTGGGTGCCAGCTCTGAACTCAGCTCCTAGAGCCCCCCTTTCTGCATGGCTCAGCACCTGCCCGGTTGATCACCGCTCAGGGAAGAGAGAAATGCTCAGCCCCTGTTGCACGGGGCTGGTAATAGCCCCGGTGCTGCCAAGGCAGAGGGAGGGCAAAACACCCCAATTTCCAGACAAACACCTCCCAACCAGCAGCGAATGCCACCGAAGCGGCTGTCAGACCTGTAAAAGCAGCACCAGCAAAGGTTTATGCTTTCCTCAAGAGGGCTCTCCGCCGTGGTCAGTATAAACATCTCGCCGGTATTTCCAATATCAGGCAGGGAGAAAAGGGGAAAAAAAAACAAAACAACCAAACGAGCAAAACCGCCAGCAGCACCAAGCGACAGCCAAACAAAGCAAATGGAGAGAGACGGTACCTGTTGTAACTCCATCTGCTGTACGACATGGTCCTGTTGCTGCCGACTCCATCCATCTCGGGCTCGCCTACTGCCCTTCCAGCATCCCTCGCCCACCGCAGGCTGCCCTCGGAAAGCAAACACCTGCCCGAGGATGAGGATGAGGACGGGCCCCCACGGGCGGCTGCCTCCGGCCTTGCACCGCGGGGCCACGGCTCCGCGGGGGCTCTGCGGCGAGCCGCAGGTGCACGGAGCAAACCACTGCCCGCACAGGGGAGGGACACGGGGAGCTCCTGGGGGCTCTGCCCACGGGCAGGATGCTCCGAGCTGCCCAGCGGGCACAAAGGCGCTCAGGTAATAAAGGCGAGCAGCAGCGCTAAGCCGCTTAAGAGATATTCGGCGAAGCTGCGCTCGGGAGCAGCAGCTTGCACGCCTCCTGCTCCAGCACACGCTTTTTTTTTTTTTTTTAATTTATTTATTCTGGTTGCCACAGATACGGGTCCACCGCTCTGACATCAGCCATCTCCCACCCCACAGCGGGTCCCTGGGTCTCTCCAGCACGGTTGCTCAGGCAGGCAATAATTAAACCCTCGGCGTGCAGAGGCAGCGCTGGGATGGCCGCAGCCAGCCAGCCCTGCGGGGTTGCCTCCTCTCCTGTAATTGCCGTGGCTGTTAAAATGCGCTGTATTGAACAGGGATCGGCAAGGCCCCGGTTTCTGGCTGCACACGATTTATTGCCGTGTGGAAACCAGGCACGGGCTGTGCTTTTTCACGCACCTGCTCCCCACTCTCAGACAGTGCCGAAGGGGCCCCCTGCTCCGTGCCCACGCCGGTGAGGAGGATCCATCCGTGCCACAGCCTCAGGATGTGCTGCCCTGCCAGCAGGAGCCCAAACACCGACTGGCTCCTGCCTCCCAGGACATCCCATGCCTGGCATCCTCCACCAGAAACAAACCCTCTGAGGCGCCCTCATGCCTGGGGGTGGCTGCGCCACGCTGCTTTCTGACACGAGGCCTGGTGTCTGCCAGCTGACCCAACAAGCCTGCACTACCGGCAGCGCTGCCATGAACATCTCTAAAACAGCTTTGACGGGAAAGCCAGCGCCCTGGTAAGCACGTGCAAAGAGCAGACACAAATTCGGCCCGCTTTGACTCAGGCAGCTGAGTCCGGAGGATCTGGAATATTGGGCTTGAGCTATTGCAATGCCGCAGAAATGAGGCTGGCTCCAGAGCTGCAGCAGCCAGTCGGTGTCCCTGCATTTTCATGCTGGTGTATACCAAGCTGCAAACGAGTGGAAAAGTACCTGCTGAGTCACCAGATGATGCGTAACATTTTTAACAATGGAAAGTCAAAAAAAAACCAGCACAGAACAGCTTCAGGTTAGGCATCCCTGAAACCCCAGCCCGGGTTTCAGCGTGCCACCAAGCGAGGGCCCTACAGCAGGTGAGCTGAGCCTGAGGGCTGCTCCGGTCCCCTCCTGACGGGTTCAGGAGCTGAAAGCTTCGGTCATTCGTGGGCACTGCTCCTTGTGCCTGCAACACGGTGTTTTACAGTGCGGAAAGAGGCAGGAGGAATGCTGCCGCTTTGCTGTTCTACGTGCCCTTGTGCTACGCTGCAAAACAAAGCTCATCAAATTTGGCTTCGTGATTTTCTCTGAAAGTAGGGTACTTACACCCATAAGAGCTTCAAACCGGTGTATCCATCATAGCTCTGTATTTAATCCTCCTTTCAAAGGATAATACCGCTTCTAAAAATTCCCTCTTAGAGTCGTTACAATTTCAGTTTGCTCCCAGTGTACTAAACAACTTCATATGTCAGTCTCCAAGCACTCTGCAAAGGAGTCAGCACCATTACCTACATCTCACAGAAAAGAAATCCGAGCACGAGCTCCCCACAGCCACCAAGAAACAAGGAGCAGCCGCACTCAGTGACTGAAGGCCCCCCTGTGCATTGCAATGCCTCCAAGCCCTGCACAAACACTGGCCCTGCGATAATCTCTTGTCTGGAAGTGTTTGGAAACACGGCTCTGTTTTTGCTGGCTGTGCAACCCACGCTTGTTTCAAAGTCCCTCTTTTGGACAGGCTTTGCTACCAGCCACACTGCTGCTACTCGAGCGGCTGGTGCTGCACTCACAAACAGCTCCTTTTTTTCCTTGTGAGCGATTAACAATATTATATTTACTGTATGTGCTATATGCGTGCTGTTTTAACTCTATGGAAAAATACCGTAAATTACTAAACCAGAAAAACTCTGTAATAACACGGATGCTGATCTTTGTTTTTCAGCAGGCTGTGGACTCCTCACAGAGCACATTATGAGCGAATTGCATGCTGCTTTTGTCCATTTGTGCAATGCTAATCACTACAGCAACCTCTTGCTAGCTTTTCAGCCCTGTTCACCCCCCGCTCCTCCCTGCAATATTGGCTGATTTCTCATATTTACAGGAATTGTCGTACGTCAAACTCAAGATTGTGCCTATGGACAGCTATAGCGGCCTTCAGCAAATCATGGCTTTCTTAATACAGATGGGAAGTGAAATAAAAAAATTGTTTGGGCCATTTGGAGCGTTCCTTGGGCTTAAGCAAGGCACGGAGGTGGGCTCTGGTTAGGAAGGCTGACCTAGAGGCTGCAGCCACTGACGGCAGAGCCACCAGAACTGGGCAGCAAAGCCATGCGAGGACAGGGAGATTTCCCGTTAGAGCCCGTCCTGCTGGACAGCACTTCTGCTGGCATCTCCCTCCAGCGTGGCTTTGCCACGAAAACTTTCTCCACCTTTTGGGTCTCCCACCGAAGCTCACCAGACGGTGAGCGAAGTCTGGCATCTTCCAGCTCTTCCTGAAGGGATGAAAACACCACTCTGCTTGTCTGCATCTTGTAGTTCAGTTGGAGCTGCACACCAAGGAGTGATAAGGGAGGAATAATTTTAGAAGTCACCTAAAAAAAAGTCAATCACCACATTTAATCAGAACTAGGGACTGAGGCCAAACCTCTCCAGCTCTTGTCTCTGTTCAGTAAGTGTACCACTTGTTAAATCACAATATTCACACCACTGCTTTTTTTTTTTTTTTTTTTTAAAGTAAACTTTCCCATTCACTGCCAGTGCAAAAATCCTGGTGTGTTTTCCCACATAAAAAGAACCTGGGCGGGGAGAGATGCAGAAAGAAAAAAACAACTAGAAACAAATTAGCTCGATTCCAGTCCCCATCTGCTGGAGGATTTTTATATTACATTCATTCCTGGGGACCAACACCCTGCTTATCTGTGAATGCTGTTTCTAGCTTCCCTTCCAAAAAATTACACCAGATACCGTCCCTGCTGCTGTGACTGAGCTCCAAATAGGAGGTGAATGAGCACCCACAGCATCAAGCAGCCAGGTTAAGACTGAAAGACAGGTTCTGGGTAAGGGATGGTGTCAGCTCTGCGAGATGCTGAGCCAGGCACCCACCAAACCCTGCATCCCGTAGGAATGAGGGCATCGGGCCCAGCGCAGAACCGCGTCCTGCAGCCAAAAGGTGTCGGCATCTCCACCCTGCATCACCCATGTGGCTCCCCTTGCTGTTCCTCCAGGGCTTCTGCAGGCTTGGTGACTCAGCAGCGAGCTGTTAACACTGCCTTTGGTCATGTTTCTGCAGGCAGCTACTGATGCTCCTGCAGGTTTCTGTAACTCCTGCGGACAGGAGGCAAAAAAGAGATGCCTTGCCAGACTTCTTGTAAAACTAACAGAAAAGGGAATTAGACCCTGGCGGATGCTGACAGCATCGTGAAGCTGGCTATTGTAAGGAGGATTTGATGATCTAAGTTGGTTAAGGGAAAGATAAACAGGATAGGTCTAACTTCCTTTTAATTGTATTAAAAAAAAGGATCAAGAAGTTAAGAAGTTCATAAAGACAACGGCACTGGTGAGGTGAGCAGCTTCAGTGCCTTTTAAAATGAAACAAAAAACCAACGGTGGAGGAGTTGCGAGAAGCACTGCCGGACAGACATGTTTTACAGGCGGTACGAGAGGTATTAAAGCACAGATGTTTTGAGTGAAAACACAAAGTCTTGCAGCAGGAAGGAAAAAAAACACCCAAATTTTGTTTCACTTTCAAGGGTCTGCATTCAAAAGATTTCCCCACTCAAGGTGTCACACCTAGCACCTAGATAAGGGACAGCATTTACTTCCTCCTAACAGCAAGCTTCATTTAGAGCTCTTATTTAGCCGAGCAGTGGGTGTTTATGCATAACTTTCTGACTGCAAACTGTACAGGCAGGTAACGATGGGCTCCTGTATTCCGATACAGCTGACGACTATGAAAGTTTGGCAAACTACACAGAAATTAAGAATTTGTACGCTATTTTAAGCTGCCTTTACTGTTTTAGATCATAAACATCCTTCTTTTCACGTGAATTTCTTCAGAACAACTCCTTTATAAATCATATTTTTTTTCCCTAGCTACCAAAAAAAAAACAGATTTTAGAGTTTACGGAACAAAATACTCTGAAACAGCACCGGCGCACAGCCCTGCTTAACCACGCACTGACCGCTTCGTTCTGTTTCTTGTATTTCATGTTCTGCTTGCAATAACTTTAACTCAGTCCCAGCACGAAGACGGCGCTCGCAGCCCTGCAGTCAGCTGCACGCCCGCCCCAGGCGACACCCTGTGGTTCCTGAGGGTGGTTTCATGCAGTGCTGGCACCTGGGGGATCCCTCCAGCCCCACGCTGCCCCAGCTGAGCTCTGCCGAGCTTCCCAAGCACCTTCACAGCACAAAGGTAGCTGACCGCTTGCTCCTGGGGCACTTTCCACAGTGGGGACGAACTTGTTTGTGTGGCAGGCTGGACGCATGGCCCAGGCCTAGGTCTCAAAGCATTACGTTACCAAATGCTCTTCAAGGAACGTAAGCTATTCATATCACTGCAGTGAGCTCACTTCTACGTGTCACGAGAAACGTGGGACACGTACAGAGGAGCATTTGTACCCTGCTGTCGCTCTTCAGCAGTCAGGTTCGGCTGAGATTAAAGCTTTCTCAGGTACAAATTAATTCATGCCCAGGACCTCAGAGGTGAGAATCTAAAAGGTGTTCTCATTGCCTCTACTTGCATTTCAGGTGCCTGTACTTTGCCACGTTGATTTGCCATGCCCTCTCTACACTACGTTGTCAGAGGCATTTTTAAAGAATGCGGTAATTTATGGAGTGCAGACTACTAATTAACGAGCAGCAAATGCTGTGTGTAGCCTACTACGCTTCACAGGCCCCAGTTTAAGTAGCTGCACAGATCAGTACTTGCTTTCCAGCAGCAAGATGCATTTAGTTCTGCTGGCTGGCTGGCTCAGGAACATCACTAATTACATTACATACATTAATCCAATTTAGCTTT